GAGGGGACTTACATGTGAAACAAGCCTGTTCCCTAACTTGAATTAATAATAATAATAATAATAATAATAATAATAATAATAATAAAAGAAAAAAGACATAAATATAAAAAAAGAAATTCAAATGGCTAAGAAATATCTAAAAGGAAAAAGTAACAGCTCAGGCTGGTGAAGATGGAGTAAGAGGAAGACTCATACATTGCTGGTGGGGCCATAGACTTATACATACACTATGGAAATCAACATGATGGTCCCTCAGAAAGCTAGAAATTTATCTACTCAGGATCTAGCAATATCATTCTTGGACATACATCAAAGAATGTTTCATCCTACCACAGAGACACTTGTGAAAACTGCTCTATTCATAATACTCAGAAATTGGAAATAATCCAGAGGTCCATTAACAGATGAATGGCTAAAGAAATTGTGATACATTTACACAATGGAATATTGCTAAACAGTTATAATAAAACTATGAAACTCTCAGATAAATGGATGGAACTAGAAAAAAAAGTCTCCTGAATGAGGTAACACAGTCCCAGAAAGTCAAATACAGTATATATTCACTTAAATGTAGGTATTATCTTTTAAGGCAATGATAACCAAGCTACAGTCTATAGAACCACAGAGGATCAGTATAGAGTAGGGGACTAGGAGGGACAGATACATCTCCATAGGAAATGGAGATAGAATAGATAGTTATAATGAATGGAAATGGGGTACTGGTCAAGAGAAGAGGGGTAGTGAATGTGGGGATGAGGAATATGATGACAGCTTTAATTAAGTTCCACTTGAAGGTTAGTATGGAAACCTAATACAGTAGAAGTTTCATATACATATATACATATATACCCAGGCTGTTGCCAAGACTATAAAAAGGCTGCTTTCCACCAAATCTTTAGCAAATCCCTATTGCTAAAGATAATACCTACACAACACATTAAACATGGAAGAGCTGAACTGGTGCCTATGTAGAGCCTTCACCCACAGGTTCTATCATCTTTGGTACAAGAAGATACCTGCATACTACAAAAGAAAATTTTAACTGCCAACCTAGCTACAAAACCTTTGATCAACAACGGTGACCTGCCTACAAGATATGCTAGTGCAATGGTAGAACAAAGCTTGTGGGGATAACCAACATCTGATTTGACTTAAGGCCCACATCATGAAATGGAAACCATACCTGATGCTGCTTGGGTAATCAAGAATCAGAGACTGGCTAGCCTGTTGGCTTAGTGTAAAACCAAACACTACTGCTCTCCAAAAGAATTAGTAATAAAATGACTCTAATGACATTCTGTTACAGTCACAGACCAGTTCCTTGCTTGGCTATCATCAGAGAAACTTCTTTCTGCAGCAGATGGAAATAAATATAGAGACCCACAGTCATACAATATGCAGAGAGAGAAACCTTGGAATACTCGGCTCTAAATGGGATGTGTCCATCAAGCTCCTCCATTAAGGGCTTGGGGAACTCAATGGAAGAGGAGGGAAAAAGAGAATAAGAACCAGAGAAGACTGAGGACACTAAGGAAATAATGCCCTCTCTATACTCAACAGGATTGATACATATGTGAACTCAGAAAAACTGAAGTAGTATATACAGGGCCTGCACTGCTCCTTACAATATTTTGGCTTCCAGTCTAGTGTTTGTATGGGATTCCTAAGTGTGTGAACTATTGGTAGTTCTATGTATGTATGTATGTATGTATGTATGTATGTATGTATGTATGTATGAATATATGTATGTATACCTTGTGCCTCTTCTTGGGTTTCTTTATGTTTGTTTGTTTTTCCCTTTTCTGGCCATTAGTTTTTGTTTTATTATTATAATATTTATATTACAGTACATATTTTTTTTCTCTTATAGCTATTTTTATTTTCTAATTAGAGACAGAAAAGGGATGGGTTCAGATGGGAGGGAACAAGAACTGAGAGGAGTAAAGGGAAAGAGACCATACCATAATTAGGATATATTACATGAGAAAAAAACACATTTTCAATAAAAAGGGAAAAACAATTTATTGGAAACAAAAAGAAAAATTTAATATTTCCTGTTGTAATAATGTAAAATTTTATACATACTCCCAGTATCAATTTAAGAGTTGTTTATGTACTTGTAACTACATTCTTGTACATACTACACAAGAGATTTTCAGTTCTATTTTGATTGCATATCTAAGTTGCATTATTTCCAACTTAGAAAGTTATTTCTAAATTCAGAAACTAATTTTGTAGATTAAAATATGACGTGTCTACTGAGAAATATGAGACTCTTATTTAGAAAACATAAGAAAATTTACATGGATGTTTGCTGAGATAAAAATAATATTTAATTTAATATTACCTTGATATAGTGGGTTCAATTAGAGAGCCAGTTCTCATTTTCATTTGGTCAAGTTCAGATCTTAACTTCTCAATTTCTTCTGCTAGTCTTTCCTAAAAATCAAAAAGCAGTTACTCAAATGATGGTCACATCAAATATATCAGCATTGAATTGTGATGAATAAGTGGATATTTAAGAGTGACAATGATTATGTTTTATTAAAGAACACTGGATATAATCAGAAAATACACTTGTGCTTACCTTTCATAACGTATTTGCCAATAGCAAGTCAACAAACCAACTCTATTCATGATATTTAGTAATCCTAAATATTTGCATATTTGTGAGATTATTTAGGATCAAAAATATAGATATGTCACTTAAAATTCAAAAGACAAATCACATCTAGTATTAGGTCAAATAAAACATCTTTACATACTAAGTAAATGTGATAGTACCCTTTGGTTGTCAACTTGACTACATCTGGAATTAATGAAAACCAAAGTGGCTGGTTTCACCTGGGAGGAAGTAACTTTTGGTTGTTGCTTTTTAATTAATTCATTTGAAGTGAGAAAACCTACTTTTAATCCAGATCTTAAGGTGGGAATATCTTTTATCTGGGTCACCTCTTCTCATGGCAACCTATGTAAAGGACATTTAAGAAAGAAGCTTACTCTTTGCATGTGCTCTCTCATTCTCCATGGCAAGTTCATTCCTCCACCAGCATTAGAGCCTACTTCTTCAGGATTTTGGTGTGATTGAAGAGCAGATGAGACTTTGAGCCTTGTGGACTGAAGGACTATTAGATTCTTGAACTTTGAACCTTTCACTGATAGGCAGCAAATGTTGGACTAGTTGGACGGTATCCTGTAAACCACTATAATAAATCCCCTTTCCAACTCTGTGTGTGGTGTGTGTGTGTGTGTATGTGTGTGTGTGTGTCTGTGTGTGTGTTCATCAGTTATTAGGCAGGGTTCGAAAAATTTCCATTTTTTTTCTCAAGGTTGTAAGGGCACACCAGTGTAATGATAAATCTTTACTCCAAGCCACTCGAGACACATGAGTGCCCACATTAACACAGAGAGACTTATATTAGGGCCAATGACTAGGATTTCTTATATTCTAGATCAGTCTTAATTATCAACCATAAATATTAATCTATATATTATATAAAGACTTATAGAGGATGCTGACGGAATGCTTCCTCTTTCTGGGATCACATGGTAGCTTCACAGAGAAGAGAGGGGAGGAAGAGGAAGAGAGCGACTTCTTGCTTGTCCCTGCTTATATTCTGAGCCTGCCATGTCACTTCCTGCCTGAATCACAAGACTTCTCTTTACTATATTTCCCAGAATCCTCCATGACTCCTAGTCCTGGCTAACTTGCTTCCCTATTGGCCAACAGTACTTTACCAACCAATAAGACAACATATATACACAGAAGGACCTCCCCCATCACACCAGTAAAGAAAAATGATTTAAAGAAGCAGAATTTCATCATAAAAAAAGCCAATAGTCTCAACATTTAAAATTTCTTGAGATGTGAATAAATGAATAAAAAGTATATTTATGACTGGAAGACTCAGCATGAAATAAAGGCTGCCAAAAACCTAACTACAGGCTTGATTTTGTTTTATATATATATAATTTTTTCATACTTGTACTAAATTCCTCAGTGGGTAACTTTACGAAGATTGTAGTTGTCTCACAGCTATTGACTAAGTGCTCATGAAATTACTTCATAATGGATTCTAATATGTGTGTTAATGAGTCTTTAGTTTCTATAGTTTCTTTCTCAGTAGCCAGCTCTTATATTTTATTTGAGTCATATTACTTTTCTCACCATACTGTAACTAGTTTTAATGAGAATGATCCATGTAGGCTCATGTACTAGAATACTTAGTTCCTAATTTGTATAACTGCTTGGGAAGGGTTAGGAGTTGTGGCTTTTTTGGAAGATGTATGTCATTCGGGGTGGTCTCTCTGATATCAAACGCCCAACATATTCCCCATATTCCAGTTAATTGTCTGTCCTTTTCCTTTTTGTGGATCAGATTTCAACTCTCAGCTACTGATCTAATACCATGCATGTACTTATTTCCTTGCAGTCTGCCATGATGGTCATAGACTCAACCTCTGGACTTGAAAGTCCTAACAAATGCTGTCTTTTATAAGTTGCCTTGGGCATGATATATCTTCACAGCAATAGAAAAGAAGCTAACATAATGGAATTGTAGCATTTGTCAAATTTCTATTACATGTTCTTTATACTTTAAGGATCTCAGTCATATTTCACTTTCTTTGGCAATTTTGTAAATTATCAGATTCAGTGTCTTTGGCACACCTTCTGCTAGCATATCACCTCAAATATATGGATATTTAAATAAATTGCTTTAAATAATTTCTTGTTTAATTTCATTACTTTCAGAAAAAATATTCATTGAGTTTCTCTTCTGTGTACCTAGTGTACAAGCAATGTTTTGCCATTTCCTTAATGTATATTAGTAGAAAAGACAAGCGATGAATAAAATGTACAGGTAAGTTAAAATGTTAGGAAGAAAAAGAAAAATTATGGAAAAATGATATATAATATTTGAGTGAATATATATATATATATATATATATATATATATATATATATTTATATGAATGAAGTCCTGAATAAAATATGATAATATATTAAGAAAGAACATTGAAGATGGAATTATATTTGGTGAGACAGGACAGAAACCCAGGGTTGGTGACTTAGAGACATCAAAGCAAAACATAGGTAGTGTGTGGATTAAGTAAGATTACCGCTGAGTGAAGGGAAAAGGCAGTTGGCAATTCTGAAAGGCACTAATGCATTTTAAAACTTTCTGGCTTTTTACTATTAGTAGGAGAGGGAGCAAAAGCAGGCAAGTCTGATCATGAAGCATTATTGTATGATCATTGCACTAGCTCTGAATAAAGAATTGCATGAGCCCTTTCCGCCGACTGATCAGCAACAAGGTGAGTGACCCCCTGCTCTTACCCCACTCCCGTCCAAATCGTAATTCACCCAGATCTCCCCAGGCTTGTGCCTGCTTGGAGTAGACATGCCCAGGCAGGGAGGAGCTCCCTGAAGCTGGGAAAAAGGCTACTCTTCCTACCCTTTCCACCAACTGATCAGCAAGGAGGTGAGTGAGCCCATGCGCTTACCCAACTCCCTTCCAAAGCCCCATCCACCCCTATCTCCCCGGGCCTGCTCTTGCTTGGGGTGGAACTGCCCAGACAGTGAGGAACTCCCTGAGCCTGGAAACAACCCACTCTTCCTTCCCGTCCCCATCACACACACACACACACCTGACCCCTACAGAAGCCTAACTCCTTCATAGCGAGGAGACTACCAGGAGAGGCAATACTATCCAGAGCTGCACATATTGAATTCCTGCCCCCCCCCACACCACTGGGTAACAAGAGGAGATAGAGAGACCCCCTCCTGCACTCACTGGAAGAAGATATGGGAAGAAGACAGAATAAGAAACTCACTTAACAACAGAAGGACCAATATGACACCACCAGAATCTAGGAACTCCATTCCAGCAAGATCTGAAAAACCCAGCACAGTGCACGAAGAAGAGGTGGACCTCAAAAATTATCTCAGTAAAATGATAGAGACCTTTAAAGAGGAAACAAGAAAATCCCTTAAAGAAACTGAAGAAAAAGCAAGCAAAAAATTACATGAAATGGAGGAAAAGACAAACAAAAAT